AACGCAAAAAAAGGCAAAAGTGGGGGAATACATGCTGCAAAACATGCTATGCGAGCAAGCACTCCGACGGAACATGACGATAAGGACTCCCTTCATATAGCGCTATCATCAAGAAATGCCACTGCTGAACAAATCAAAGTTGCTGTGGATCCAGGCACATACCAATGTGGCGATGAGGGTAGTTCCAAAGACACGTCGTCAGTCGGATTATCATTTGCCAGCATCACTGCCAACGAGATACCAACAACAGTCCGTCCTTCATCTAAGTCCGCTGCTGGGCTTACTTCTGACACTTCATCAGTAGATGTATCATTTGCCAGCATCACTGCCAACGAGACACCAATAACCGTCCGTCCTTCATCTAAGTCCGCTGCTTACTTCCGACGACACTTCATCAGTCGCAGTATCATTTGGCGCCATCACTTCCAACGTCGACTTCGACATCATCACTCTGTCGTTGCAACCGTATCTTCTCATTCTGTAATCTTGCTGTTCATTATTCTTGCCAAGGTGGATTACTTTACATTTGTCAGCGTTAAAACGCAGCTGCCACTTATCAGCCCAGTCAACCAGCCTGTCAAGATCACCTTGTACCTGTACTCTTTGCGACGTATTCTTCACTGTTTCATAAATTTTTGTGTCGTCAGCATACATCGAGCACACGCTAGACACAGCTTCTGGCTGATCGTTTATAAACGCATGAAGCACACGGCAAAGGAGATGCGACGAGTGAATATACCGGAGGTTATACTGTAAATTAACGGTTACAACAAAGATTAGACAGACCAGCAAGCGCTATTGTATCGTATGCAATTATTCATTATGAGGATCAAGATATATGGATCAATTTATGCAAAGTTAGGAATAAATATTTCGATACTAACCTTCTAATTTATTACCGCTGGGGTCAATTTAGAAGTGGCTTGAAAGCCGTTTAGAGGTACAGAGGTGTTTAGACAGTGCAATAGAGTGCAAAGGTTAGTATATTAATGAATGTCTGGTCGACCCACCTTGGCTAAGTTAATAGGGTTAAAGCGCCACAGGGCGTAAAGTTAATAGGCTCGAAAGCCGGCAATACTGCCAAGTTAATTAATGCGTCGGAGACGTCATTTTGCATTTGAAGTTACAGCGAAATTGTTTATATTTCCTTTGATGTGTCGGCGTAGCAGAACAATGAATTAAGCGGCAGCTGGGGGGATGCTCCCAGCACCACACGGCAGCTGGGGAGATGCTCCCAGCACCACACGGCAGCTGGGGAGATGCTCATTGAATGGCCCTTACTACATTCTTTGCCCGTTCGCCATTAGTTTTATTTGTACTCGAAGAAGCGGTTTATGCTCAGAATATTAAGCATGATTACTTCATTTATTTGAATGTAGGGCCGTTTGCCACGTGCAAGTATCAACACTCGATGAGTTATTTAGATTTATTACCATTTGGACGAGCGTGATTGCGGTTATATTGAACGAGCGATATAATGGAAACATAAATTAAATCAAGTCCACAGATGTTGTACAAATTCCATACAAAGATTTTAGAAATTAGTTATATGAAAAAGAACAATAATAATATACGTGAACACAATCCCCGGACATTAGTAAGGCTTTTTATAATAAACAATTTTAGGACGATATTCGCAGCCAAAGTCGTTACTTTCCCGAATTACAACCGCAAAATGTAGGCGCATCACTTTCAATTTTTTTAAGTTTCATCAAAAATCAAAGCTTCTTCATTGAGAGACCATTAATAGTTTTTAATGTCCTCGTCATTTCACATGCTAGCTCTAATTCTTGATTATTTAAGTTGATTCAATTGATTCTAATGGTTTATTATTATCGGTTCAAATTCAAATGTGTATATTTTTAAAAATGACTTTAAATTGAATCTACAATCAATAATTTTCATTAGAAACAAAATAAATGGAAAATCTTTCAATGTACAAATATGGAGGCAGTGTCACTGTCACCCACTCACTGCCTTACATACATCTGAACCGTTGTAGAAATTAACAAAGAAGTATTTTTTTATCTTATATTTATATCGAAGTTTCACATAAATCCTCGTTGTTCACGGGCACAAAAGCTCGAGGCTCGCACCATCCGCCGTCAGGTAAGCGGACAACTACCAGCTCTCCGGACAGAACTTTTTACGAACTCCTGTCGTCCGCTGTTGAAAGAGGCATTTTGCGGAGGAATTTCGAGCTGTGCCAAAGCTAAATTTCAGTCTTCTATGATGGGCTCCTTCAAAATTCTGTTCTTTACCTAATACAATTCGACCTACTGACATACTTTGAGTGTAACTAAAATGAGTGGCACCGAAAACAAATTTCCAGAAAGCCACGAATCCACCAAAACAAAGAGCACAAGGCTGAAGAAAGCACAATACGAATGACCTCCCACACATCCAAGTGTTTCGCGTTTGCCGAGAGATCAGTGAAGAGAATCGTGAGAATTTTAACCTTGAGTAGAAGTGGTACTAATGAACATTGCTGGCAACATTGAACTTTGCTGCGAAATTAAGCATTCAGTTGAACGTTTTGCCACGAGTTGAATCTACAGCGGGAGCACGTTTTACGAGAGTTAATCTCATGAAGTTTTTCATTTTGAAAACAGCGATGAAATTCTTGTCAATATCCAGCGAATGAAAAAGAATTTGTTGTCTCTATAGTTTATGCATGTTGAAACTTCTTTAAAAATTGACTAACAACTAAAATTACAATCAACATAGGAAAATTAATGATAACGTCACTGCCAAGTAGCCCGTTAACTACTTTGATATTAATGAACAATTACCACGTAAGAAGAGCACTAAAAGGCAATTGTGTTGTATGATACACGAGACGCGCATGAACTACTCGGCTGCAGCTGCACTGGCAGATCTTACACCAAGTGATGTAGAAACGTTCGTGATGGAACAAAACTACCAATGCCATATGACTTCAACGTTTATCTAAATTAAATTACTACGTATTAACACGGAACTTCTAGGACCACAAGTAACCTAAGTATTTACAAAATAAACCAAAGAGCTTTCAAATTGCTAGGACGTAGATCTATTAATACGGGAAAACGACAACGAAACAGAGGGGTTGCGACCACCAAACCAGACAAAAGACAAGGCTGGCCTCCATATTTTGATAAGATGCGTTTCGCGGCGTAGCACAATCTTGAGAAGCACAATAGCTCACCCAAGACTATGAAATGTTCACTTAGTAATAATTTATACTTATTTTAATTCAATGTGATCATAATTTGAATTGCGCTAGAACAGAAACAACCAAGAGACTTAGGTTGCTTACGCCCATCTTTGGAGTAATGAAGTAAAAAGATATCAGCTAAACATCACTAAAATCAATAGAGTTATTAGGAATTGTTCTACTGATCTTGAAATAAATTTCAGCCATTTAGCTTAACAATTTAGAACAATTTGAGCAAAACAATTTCGAAGATGACAGACTGCAAAACAATTTAGAAGATGACAGACTGCATAACAATTTCGAAGTAGAAGATGACAGACTGTAAAACAATTTAGAAGATGAAAGACTGCAAAACAATTTAGAGGCGAAAAAAGTTACATTTTTCTCGGCCTGTTTAGATGCGGAAAAGCGTGCAGAACGGGAGGCGGCGATCCATCGTGGCCTGGGACTGGTACGTCCGAAACAAATACCAAGGAGCGCAAGCTATAAAAGACGCTCAGCTAACACGGGAAGTCACATTCACAGCCGCTGTGCAGGGATCGCTTCAAACAGTGCGCGTCAACTCCTGGACAGGCGTGATATTATTCGATTGATCTATAATTATTACCAAATACTTTTTATTATTTCGCTCACTGCGTTGCTTTTATTAGTACCAAATTATTTCGGTCAACCATAGCCAAAATGTTGACGCGTGCAGAGGGTTTGATTACATGGTTAATTTACTTATTAAATCATCACAAAGACACCGAAATCTAACCGTAGCGGTTCACGAAAACTGTTCAATTTTTATACACGAAATTGTGCACGTATTAGTAAATCTTCCTCATTCTGAAATGCGATTTTTCCTCGAGGTGGATTCCTCAGCGAATGCGGACATGTAAAGCTAACAGATGACTTGCAAAAACATAAATTTCCGTTAATAAGCAAAATGATTTTTAGCTACTAATTTAGTGACTGTCGAGAATCGCGTAAGAGAAATGAGATAACATGCACGAAAGACATCAGTGAAATAATGACTGGGGATATAATGACTGAGTGAAATAATGACATCAGAAAACTCTGATGCTCTGAGGAAGCATCAGAGTTTTACTGTTACGTCCGACACAAAATCTGTGCAGCATAGCAGTTGCTATAGGCCCTCGCCCTCGCGGGTTAACATCTTGTTTTAAAGCCCTTATTATCACACCGAAATTCTCATAAACTTGCCAGAAAACAAAAGTTTAACATTTTAAGCAAACACAGTAGACAATCAGAAAATTTGTTTTCACTATTCCAAGCTTACTAGTCTCCCTTCTCACAGTTCACAAATAATGCTATCAATTCAAGTTCGCAACTATTTCTGACTATGAATACAAGACGAATTCTGTTGAGAGCGGAACAAACGTGCAACACTCGGTTTCCCTGTGATGGGTCCAAGTCATTGTTATTAGATGAAGTAGTCATAATACGATTTGATATAAATCTGTATTATCGGTGAAACTATTACCAGTTATTTAATACGACGTGACCAATATTGGCACAATAAATACCTGCGTTAAATATTGATTGCTGCACAATTTTCTGACCTCACATTGATATAATTTACAGGATTATAAGGCGAAGTTGAAAGTAAAACATTCACAAATAAGTCATGAACTCAGCATCGCAAGTGTGCAGCCAACAAGTTGATTCATCAACCAATGCCAAGGGTTGACGAATAAATTTAACATATTCTTTTAGATTACAATGATAAAAATTATTGATTTAAGTGAAACATTAAAAACACATGTGCAAACACATCAAGGAATGTAATTAAACAACCGAGCAAAATGAATGGGAAATTCTAATAATACAAGCAACAACGGAAGTTAAAATTAAATAAAACTAATATAACGATTTACTCCAGCCACAGCATCAATGAAGAATACCCATCATGTCTGCTCCTATCGCCTGGACATGAACCTAAACTTCCAGTGCAACGCGCGTCATCACAGCAGCCATGATACCGAATGCTTAATACAGTTCATTCCAGGCGCTCGAACAGCACACGTTCATCTCTTATCATGACCTATGATCGGGAAATATTCTTGCTAACATTCTGCAAGTGAAAATTTACGAACAACCCAATTCGATTGTTATTACATAGAAGTGTTGGATACAGTGCACCCATTTAATCACGCACCATACGAATGAATTGCACCAGCAGAAATTTAGTCAGCTTTTATGCAGAAGAACCGCTAGCAGAATATAAACTTGCAGTCGTTGTGTAACCAATTGAAACGAAATCAAATATATAACAACTTCCAGAGCACACTACACCACATTGTTCTAGCGCAACTCAGCATTGGTTTGGCACCAACCTATCTAATGATTAGTTTACTTAGTTTCAGTTTTGTCTATCTTTAGCATGAATAATCAAAACTAGAACATAATCATCAATTTAGAATCCAGTAGCAGTCGTGATCGTACAAGCTAAACAGTGAAATTATTTTTAAATCCAGCAAAGTTTACAAGTATTGGCGACTGAGACGGTCCAGCAATCTTGAAAAGAAAAAAACTATGAGCTGAGATTATGGTCATTGGAAGTGAATATTTTCTAATAATCAAAGGACCGCTCAAGAAATCGCTGTGGGCATGAACCAAGAAACCATCTCGCATTTTATCGTGCCGTACCAAACTACTCAAAGTAAAAACCGCTTGTACCACCTCGACAAATTTCACTGTGTAATTTAAGGGAACTTTGGCTCTAGAACATCTAAAGGAATCGTAATAGTAAGGACAGGATACAAAATAGTCTCACCAGACTATCGAGTCAAGCGCTAAAAACGACTAAAGAGATTAATTGCGAAAAAAACAAGTTAGGTTCCAAACATGAACTTGAGACAGATAATGGTAGAAAAACGTACATTATTGATCCCCATGACTCCATCAACATGAACAAAAGCAACGACACCATTCCGCTGCAAAATAGGAACAATAGGCACACCAACAGCTGGATTCATACAATTTCTTGTGAAAAGTTGCAGCATTACCACAGGGGCAATTCGGGACTGATTGCGAGTACTGATATATTCGAGGATTTCTCGTGAAGTTTGGTTCTCGTTTCAACGTAAATATGGATTGATACTGCTTTACACATTGGTGCGCTGGTTGGTCATCATTAATAGGCAGATATTCCTTCATTAAGCTGAACCTTAAAGAAACTATAAGCCACGAGAAAGAGTAATACTAATTCACTTATGAGGTTCAAGAGAATCCGTCATCGACGTCTTCCATGTCATCAGAACTATCATCGGAGTCGTCAGACACAAGATCAATAGGACCTAATTTTCTAATCTTATTGTCGTTCCTGAAAGACAAATCGCTACGCTTGCGCTTCATGAATGCTGGTAGCGAGTCTGGAAACTCATCTATGAAGGAAGGCGGCCCCACACCAGGTTCCTCTTCTTCATCTTCATCAACAGAGAAGCCAACGGGTCGCTGTCTCACGCCGTGGTTTGTGACACTGGTCGTGCTACGTCGCGCCTCTTCTTCGGCCGTGCGTTCTTTGCAGAACTCGCCTATACCAGAGGATACACATGGTCGATGGCTGCCTGCACGTTAGCGATGCTCGGTGCTGCACAGCATATCATTAATGAGCAATTTCAAGTGTCTTAATTAAAATTAATCAATTGTACACAAGGTCTAGGGACAAGTGGAGTATCAGAGACAAGTATATATTGTTTCAATACATACTAGTCTTTAAAATTATGATTAGGTTATGTCCCTGATATAATATCTGCTTGATTCACATCAGATCACAATGAGTTGAAAACGCTCCAACAAAGATTATTCTGTTAAGAAAGTATGCATGGCTGAAATTGTTAGTAAACACACATTGTTATCAACATTGTATTAACAATGAAAATTTCAACACAAATTTCATGAATAACATTTCAAATTTTAACGTAATGTCAAAACAATGTATGTGCTGAACACCGAAGGCATGCACGCTCACCAGTGACTGTTATGCTGCAAGTGGAGAATATTTTGAGGGTTGCTTTAGGATGAAGGATTCTGTAGGTGACACCAGGGTGGAGCTCTGGCTCATAACTGCAACATACGAGTAGACAGTTAAGACGGCAGCTATAGCATTTCATGTACCTTGTATCAACAGTTGGGCAGCACGGTAATTTTAATGCTAAGAATATGATCTATATGCATCAAAAGGTACTTGAAAAAAGATCCCTTCGAAATCAAAAGAGCCATTTTTTTCTAGGTATGTCTTATAGGTATCAAGTTTCAGGTACAAATGCATACGAGATACTAACTGAACATAGCAATAGCTGAACAGAAAATTAAGTGAAGCAAGATAAATTGTTTTCATCATCGGTCTATCGTTGTTTGGTCAGCATGTCACTTGCACTCGTTTTTGTGGTACCATATCGTTAACAGACAATAATTCTGAGCAATACAAATTTCATATGACTCGTAATTGAAGTGGCCACTGTGGGCCTTTTCATGACCACCACATGGCAATTGAATTTATAATGCGTCTTGCATTGTAGCATTGCAAAGTTCGTTTTTAATGCTGTTGATTCAGTTGTCAATGTGAAATCTTGAATGATGTCACAAAATAGATTTACTTTGTCAAGGCTCATGCTGACGGAGTAGTTACCTTGTCAAGGCTCATGCTGACGGAGTAGTTACCTTGTCAAGGCTCAAGCTGACGGAGTAGTTACCTTGTCAAGGCTCATGCTGACGGAGTAGTTACCTTGCACTGTTGCGATGCTGCAGTGAGAAGGGCGTGATCTTGATGGCAAAGGGCATGGTACATGTGCCGCGAACGTTGACGACACGGAAGTTCTTGAAGCGCGTCTTGCAGCCAAGCTTCTGCAGAGCGCGAGCCACGCGACGAGCGGCCGTGCGTGCCTCAACTTCTGATGTTGAACCTGTTCGGTAAAACGTGTTCACATTTTGCATCAACAGGTTAAGGATAATTAAATCGCTCATTATTACTCAAAATCATTTACGTTTAGTTAATGGCGTCGAGGCACCTAACCTAATGTTCTTGGTTTCCTGAACTTCTTGCAACCAACATGCAAATTATTAAGCAAAAATGCAGATAACGGATTATTTACCAATTAAAAAAACTGTACATAGGTACATGTTAACTAAACAGTGAAGGAAATAATTCCTTGAAGAGTTTTGTTCATGGACTTGTTCAAAAATGCTTTAATTGAACACTGAAGTTTGTGTGGTAGTAAAAATATTATTGTATAACTGCATTTTCCCTTGAATGATGAAAAATATGCATCTAAGAGTGACATATGCTAACCTTGGAATAAGCATCTCTAAAAACTTAAAAGCAAAGAAAACTCCACATAAATTCATAGTATCTTTAAAGAAAACGTTTCGGAGTCCAGCTCCATCGTCAGTTTGAAAATTCTAGAACACAGATAAATCAGTGATTAATACAGTCATAGATCATAGTACAAGCATAGATCTACGGAAGCCAGCATGGTTTTGAAACAAAATTCCATTCAAGAATTGTCAGCTGAGCCTCTTAAGCAGCAGAGCAGGCGCCCACCTGTGCAGGTAATTTTGCCAGAAGACCAGATGGAAGCTGTCGTGGGGGGTTGCGTAGCTTCATCGTCACCATCTGAAAATGGTTTAAATGCACGAATAGAGCACAGCATTACCACGGAGGCAAGAGAATATGGTTCACATACAGGAATAGCACACAACATAAATACGGAAGAAAGAGAATGTGGTTCACATACATAAGTAGTGCAAAACATACACAGATGCAAGAGAATGTGGTTCACATAAAGGAATAGCACACAACATACACACGGAGGAAAGAGAATATGGTTCACATACAGGAATAGCACACAACATAAATACGGAAGAAAGAGAATATGGTTCACATACAGGAATAGCACACAACATAAATATGGAAGAAAGAGAATATGGTTCACATACACAGAGGCAATAGAATGCGGTTCACATACAGGAATAGTGCATCAACATAAACTCCAAGAGAATATAATGAAATTTATTTGTTAACTAGAATCAAATTTTGACAGCCAAAATAACAACATCTGAAAATGCCTGAACCAATTGATTGAGTGTTCTTATATGAGAGTAATTTGGAACCAAATCCAAAAATCAATCAAATAAGATTCATCTGGAAAAATATGTCTCATGAATAAAATACTGTTGCCCTGTGCAATCATTTTACAATGCTATATAAAACCATCGATTGGCAAGAAATTATATTTTCCTGTGTCACAATAAAATTTAGGTTTCCAAAATGATCAAGCTCTCAATGTCTCAATGAACAGTAAAAACAGAAAACACAGGATAATTGAATGAAAACACAAAAAAAAAGAATAGTTTGAGAAAAAGTAATACTCACCCCATGCTCTTGCCAGTACTCCACATTATTTGCAAGTGTAACTACTTCCCTTAAGTTAATATGGCACCCAATGGAGTACGAACACACAACATTGTTAATGACTACCTATGTCAATAATTCCGATTCACCGCTACCACCAGCATCTTCTTTCTTCTCCAACTCTGCAGTCTGATGGAATTCAAGTGCAGTCATTAACAAGTGAATAATGTTATACTTTTATTAATGAAACTTGTTTTAGAAATGCATAAAGTTCCAGAGAATATCAAAATTTTTTCCAATTCATGAAGAAAACATGAAAAATTCAACAGCATAGAACTTTATGCTTACCTTTTCAGTGCCCAACAGAAAACCATTACTGATTGTGTTGATAACCTGGCCAACTTCTTGAATATCATCGTAATCATCATAATCTTGATGAATTTCTGGAGAAGAGGTCTGAGGCTGAGTGTTTTCTTGAGCCTCAACAGCAGCACCATTGGTCATTTGACAATTTTTACCTCTGTCCAACTCACTTTCTTGATTAGGTGAGGGAACATTCATTTCCACCTCAGCAAGGGGGGACTGAAAGCTTGGCATATCACTCTCTCTGCTCTGAACATTATTGGAAGGGATGATAGCAGGTGCCGAAGATGCCACGCCATTCACAGACACATAATTTGATTGGACGGCCGAGTTAGGAATGCTAGCCACATTAGAAATTGCAGATAATAAATAATTGTTGGGATTGTGAAACTGAAATTATTTGTGGGTGGGGTTGAATAGCTTGTAAATGAAGCTGTGGCTGAGATACACCTACGGTATTTGTTGGCTAGTGGTTGCAACAACTTAATTGTTGACATTCATAGACTGCTGCTGCTGCTTCTCCAACAAAGCATGAGCACTTGCAATCGACACAAGCTGAATGCCAGGCAAAACAACTTGTTGCTGCTGTGGTTGCAACTGAAGGGATTGTATTGCAATAGGAGTTTGTTGACGCTGTTGAAGTTGCTGCAATTGTTGAGCTGTTATCTGGAAAGGCTGATTGATAATTATTCTACCATCGGGTAGCTGATGCCCCTGATGTAATTTGTTGTTGGGAGCTATACAAATGATCTGAGTTGTGTTGGCTGCTGGAGTCTGAGAACTTGCTGTGGCTGCTGTTGAAGTCGAATTAGTTGCTGTTGAGGATTTTGAAGTCTGATGATCTGAGGCTGAGATCCTAGCTGAGGTTGTTGCTGTAACTGCAACTCTAACAATTTTTGCAGCTGCTGCTGTGTAAGGCACAATTTACCCATAGTTGGAACATTAGTTGCAAGAGCAGCACCTACAATATTGGAAGTTGTGATCATCTTGCCATTTTGGGCTCTAATAATTGCATTGCCATTGGCTAAGTTGGTTTGTAGAACCCCATTGGAAGCAATGGTAGAAATGCCATTAGCAGTGAAAGAAGGTAAGCTACCAGTAACTGAGGTAACCACTCCATTATTGGTGTTGGCCAACATGGTTCTAACATTAATAACATTGGAATTGACACAACTAATGGCTCCACTGCCATTCACTGAATGCATTAATGAACCATTTGAAGCAACTCCAGTCAAACTCTGCATTAGTACTACTCCATTATTTACAGATTGAGATGTTGTAATGTTCCCAGAATATGTCATGGAGCCATTTGCTAGTCCAGAAGCAAAACTAGAGTCGTTAGTGGAATGAAATACCACTTTCCAAAATGTTTTCACTCCATTGCTAGATCCACTGTTTTGCTTCATTATAATTAACACTCTGGAAAATTGAACAAATAGTTAGCATATGAATAGAGAAAACAATGAAGAATTTGTTTTACTTCTTATTTTTCATTTCATCACTAACTCTGAATGCTCTACTGGTCTCCATCTAAAGTTAGGTATTGAAAGCATGGTTTCTTACAGAAAATTGTATACCGTACTAATTTTCCAATACCAAAAATGGTAACAACTTCTTATCTCTTGCAAGAAACCTCTGAAATTCAGAAATGCTCCCAGAGACATTACATAAACCTACCAAAAATTCAAACCTCTAAGTCACTCAAATTACCTTTCATATAAACAGTAATTGTCAGAAAATCCTTTATTTTGATTGAGTTATACCAAAGTCATAGTTTATTTTATTCAGTTCAAGATGGAGCTTAGTTCATTCTATGATTTATACCTTCTCAATTAATTCTATAATTTTTTAGATTTAATTGAGAAGGTATAAATCAATTCAATTTTTTTCAATCTAATATTTAACCTGCTTTTCTAAAAGGCTGTGCTGTTCTTCAAAATGTATGGTTTTCTTCAAAAATAAATTATAAATTTCCATATTGATCAGAAACTGTCAACTATGAGTAGTGAGCAAACAACATCTACCATAATTGTCTTTCAGTATTTTGGGCAATAAATTTGCATCTCCAAGCCAGACAGTTAAATACAGATATTTCTAGTCTTCCAGCAAGCAACAATAGCCAAAATGACTTATGTTCCATCCACTATAGAAAATTGGGCAGAAACCACCCATGTTGTTGTCAATTTCTCCAATTTTCACAGACCTTACCGATTGATCTAAAAGAAATAAGAAAAATTGCACATTTTGCCAGCATCTTTCTGAAATTGCATGTAGACAAGTTCTTATTAACAATTTTTGTAAGATTTGGTTGAATATTCCAGATTGACATTACGCTTGGGCTACTGTACAAACTAGCAAATCTAATGTGCACAATGACACATAAAAGTGAGAAACAGCCTATATGAGTGTGAAATTCAATGATACTTTTAAATAAGAAGTGGAGTAATTGGAGAACTACATCAACATTGAGCAAACGTTTATCCTTCCACCTGAGACAAGCTTGCAACCAGACCAGGTCTCACTCAACAGGCTCCATGGGACCTTTGACAACAACATCAAACTCAACAAAGTCATCACTCCCACTGTGATGGAGGAACCCAACAGCATCATCATCATGGAGTGGTCCAACATCATCCGACTGATAATAGCTCAAGCTCTATCTCTACAGATTAGATGCCAGCTATGCATTGCATAACTACTGAATTTTCTGCACCTTGAGATTGTTTCAGAATTATTTTCACAGTTCCATATTTTTGCTTTATATATAGTCAGATGGGTAAGACAGGACCAAAATCACTAACAAGCCTGTAGCATCTATACCATGAATAACTAAAAAACCCTAAAACTATCACAAGGTGTATCTATGCAATGGGCTTCTAAGCTACAACTTAGACGTTTTGCATCTAACATAGTTTTCTGTACAGATTGAAAAAAGTGAGCTGGTCCCATCTTACCCCACTGGGGTAAGATGGGACCATGCTGGGGTAAGACAGGACCAACTGGTAATTCTTATGTTACAAGGTTTTTATTAAAAGTACAAACCTGATATTCAATATTATCCATCTAGAAACACATTATTTGATTAAACAACCACCTGTTACTTTTTTGTGTTGCGGGAAGTCAACTCTAATATCAGACACATTCTAGTTTTTGTCATGAGAAAACTTTGTTAAGCATAGTAATAGTGGGTTGGCTTTGGCTCATTGTAGAGCACTGCTAAATGCTTCATATATATTCCATTAGTGTCATTGTCTGAAAAATTTATTAAATTGGTAATAAAACCAATGGATAATTAGTTAAGTGTCAGACATCAAGTGTTTTCTTGCTAACTGCATTTTTGGTGCACTTCTTCAAATATAGCCCATGTCCTCTCACAGAGTTGTGATAATAATTATTTTCACGTTTCTCACAATGATTTTTCCCCCAATCTTGCACATAGTTCTGCAGCTCACTAATGGAAAGAGACAACCCTATTTTCTATACCCATTTGATGCAATTTAAAATAGTGCACTAAATTTCTCTAATTAAAAAAGCTAACAAGTTATAATGAAGTTTGAGCCATAGATAAAATTTTCGACCAAAATACTCCATGTACTGCACAATAATATATTCATTTAAAAACTATTTTTGATTAACTGTACATAGGGTAATAGAGGACCATTTGTGGGGGAAGACAGGACCATTTGTGGGGTAAGATGGGACTACTTGTGGGGTAAAACAGGATCATTTAGTGGTCCCGTCTTACCCCATGTCCGGTCCTTTTTTACCCCATTTTAGAATAGATGTCAGGCAGTGATGGTAGCAGGTAGGAATGCCTAGTATATCTCAAAAGTTGCTTATTACTTGAGGTTACCTGCCTATATCTACAAACCTGGCCAAAAAAATTTTCTGTCGTTAGATAGAGCTTATTTCCCAAACAGGGTTAACTATTTTGTGACCCTTCTTTACATAGGTTTTCTTTGAAAATTAGCCAGAAATTCATTATTTGCAGAAGAGGGTTGAAACAAACACTGAAATGACAGGCAATGATAGCTCTAACATATTCTTTTATCAAATTGAATTCAGTGCAATTAAAGTGCATGCCAGGGGCTGGTCCTTTCTTACCCCATGAAGGCTGTGATCCTGTCTTACCCCATTTGACAATACCGGTATACCGTAAAATGGGGTAACTTTGACCACTTTTTTTTCAAAATGATGCCATTTTTTACTAGATAAGTAAAACTTAAATTGAAACATGAAAAATACAGGTCTATACTCTAGCTTTATTCACCATAAATTGCTGGCTCCTGCCTCTCATAGTTTTGATGTAATTTCAAAAAAAGTGATGGTCTTTGTTACCCCAGCTCTTGGGGTTTATTTGACTGGGTGGTAAAATCAATTTTATTTTTTGGTAAAATAACTCTAGGTTGTGGTGCATTGTAGTAGAACTCTTCTAGTTACATACCTAGGCAAAAGACAAATTTTAGGAAAGTGTCATAGTTTGCAAATGGGGGCGCCACCCCCCAATGGGCAAAATGTGACCACCTAATGGCAGCCGTAACGGGGTAACATTGAGCGGTTTGGAAATTAAGTTACAATTACCATATATAAGACTCTGTAGTCTGAAACATAAAGAAAAAACATTAATAGGTGTATCAAACATGAAATATGTTATATAGGTGCCTGTGGTAATTTTAACTTAATTTCCAAGCCAGTCAATGTTACCCCGTCACGGCTGCCATTAGGTGATTGTTGTAGGTGTTAGTCTGCTTATTGTAAGTTAACCAGGAATTCAACAGCAAAGAAAATAATAAGTGAATTCACTACCAATATAAACATTTACTTTGTATATCTTCACTAATTATATCTGCACTGTCCATTTCTTTACTATATACAATCACTGGTAAATATATATCTTTGATGAAAATGATTCCATTGAAGACATATTGAATTTAATTGGCATTTTCTTTGCTTTTAAATTCTGGTACTGGTAGCAAATGATGCCCAAGATTTCAATTATTTTTCTCAATATTGTGCCAGGTGCAAATAAGGAGTATAAAACTTAAATGAGAACTGAACAAAGGCCATATTTTCTTCACCATAAGGCATAACAACTCTTTAGGGCCTTAATTCAGTCATTATATATACATGCAAGTTGCAAC